TGGGCCCCGTGGGCCTTGGGCCGCGGCCGCCGGCGCAGCACCACGGGCCAGTGCCCGCCTCCGTGGGATTTCTGGCCCATGGGGGCCACGGCTGCAGCCTGGCCGGTGGGGTGCCGCCCCCCGTGGGGCCCGCGCCCCTGCAGAGCCGCCCAAGCTTGGACAGCAGACACGGCCCGGGGGGGTGGGGGGCCCTCCGCAGGACTCCAGAGGAAGCTAAGGCCCCGGGGGGCCAGCAGGGCCGGGGACGCCCACAGTGGCCCGTGGGGACGCCCCGGGCAGGCGGCCGCCGCTCACCGACAGGAAGGCGTGCACGATGTCGGCCTTGATGGAGCTCAGGGGCTTGTCCTTGATGACCACGAAGATCTGCTCCTCCTTCTCCAGGCTGATGAAGTTCCCGAACCAGGACTTCTTGGCCAGCCTGGGGAGGGCGCGTGAGGCCGGTCAGGGAGCCGGGCCCGCGGAGCCGAGGCTGGCCTGCCCTTCGCCCGGCGCTGCCCCTGGCTCCTCCGAGTTTGGGGCTGTTCCTGGGCAGCGAGCCCGGGGCAGCCGGAAGGCGCAGGCGGGGGAGGCCTCCAGGGCCCCAGCCGGCCCTCTACCGAGACAGAAGCGCCGTGGACCTTGGCTCAGCTGACCACAGCTCCGCTGGCCTCACCTCACCCCTCCCAGGGCATCCCGTGAGTCCAGCGTCCTGTCCCCCGCGCCCCGCAGCGTGCCAGGCGGACGCCTCGCGGCTCCCGGCGCACAGCCCTGGGCGGCCCGTGGCCGGCTTCCAACGGGCGCTGACCCTGGAGGTCGGGTCACGGGGCTGGGCTCCTGCCTCCGGCTGCCAGGTGGCCAACAGCGCGGGGCGTGGCGGCCAGCCCCGTAGAGGGTGCCCGGTGTGCCCGCTGCTGGGCTTCAGAGCAGCACGTCCGTGGGGGGCAGTGTGTGCGCCAGGAGCCGGCCATGTCCAGTATCCAGGCCAGGACCAGTGTGGTCCAGGCGAGGGCACCGTGGCCTGGCTGGCCTGGCTGGGTGGTGTCCAGCAGCTCCCCGGGCCGACTCTGAGGTGGGGTGACCAGTCCTGCCCCTGCCCGCTCCCCCCGCAGCCACCTCCCCCCCAGTGCCGGCGGGGGCCCGGCATGGCCGCTGCTGGGAGCCCCCGCGGGCTCTGCTGCTCCATCTCGGTGGAGGGCGAGGGCCCGGCTGCCCGCCCTGACCCGCAGGGCGGCGCCCATCGGGAGGAGCGAGGCTCCCTGGGGCAGGGCTGGCGGGCGGCAGAGATGCCGGCCACGCTGTGGCCTCCACGTCTCGGGCCACCGACGTCCGTGGG